AAAAAATATATTTAATACACTCTTAATCTATACTTTAAGATGAAAAGTTAGACAAATCATTTGTAACTTATGCATTTCAACAGTCCTATTACCAAATTTTGTAGATAAATTATTGCAATCCTTTATTTGTTTCAGGATGAAAAATAATAATAATTTAAGCAATTTAGGCTATAATTATAGACTAAATTCAATAAATAGTTTAGTAATTATGTGATTTATTTTAATTTAGTCTAAAAACAATTTTTTCTTTCAAAATGATTTATAAACTATCAATTTTGTTTCAAAATTGTTTACTTGACAAACATTCTGTTAACTAAACTAACGGAATATTTGTCTAGACAAGTTGGTGTAGACAAGTTGCTCTCTAAACTTTTGAAAATGTTAAATATAGTACATATATTTTTGTTTTTCCTAACATTTTGTTTTTGAAGTTTAAATTCTATATCAAATGTAATACTTAATTAAGATAATAATTTTAATTTACATTGATCAAAATTCTAATTTTAATTTATAATTATAATTTAAATTTTATTATTTTTTAAAAAACTTAATACTATTATTAAATTATATATTTTTTCACTAATTTGTATAGAAAAATAAAAAATTTTATTTTTATTTTTAACACTAATAATACATGCATGATTTTAATTTGGGGATTTATAAAATTGAAATGAATTTTTATATTTTCAAGTAATTTTAACTATGTGCGGGTGCTCATTTAATTAAATTAAATTTTGGAATGGTTTATTTATTAAAAATATTAGTATTTAATAATAAATTAAATTTTTAGAAATAATAAATTTTATTGTAAATTAAAATTATAATCTAATTAATGCAAATTGAAATTTCATTTTAATTAATTATTACATTCGATAAAAAATTTAAACTTCAAAAACAAAATATTGTAAAAAATAAAAATGTATGTACTACATTTAACATTTTTCAAAAGTTTAAAAGAATTTTGTTAGTTTAGTTAACGAAATATTTGTCAAGTAGACCATTTTGAAACAAAATTAATAGTTTATAAATCATTTTGAAATAAAAAATTGTTTCTAAATTAAATTGAAATAAACCATATAATTAATAGACTATTTATTGAGTTTAGGCTATAATTATAATATAAACATCTATGAGTTAATTTATTAGATCTAATTGCAAATTTGATTTTTAAGCCAAGATAAGGCTAATCCTTTTTGGCTTTCCTTAAGTTCCAACATTCTCCTTCGTCATTGAGTTAGAAATTGAGAAAATTGTAATGAAAAGATAAGTAAACTAATAATTTATAAAAAGTTAGAACCCATTACATG